ACTGGAGTATTATGGAATCCAAGGCCCTACGCTGAATTGGTTAAAGGCTTTCCTGACCAACAGGGAGCAAACAGTAGTGGTTGAAGGGAAGGCGTCGGCTCCAGTTAAAGTAGCGTCTGGGGTCCCTCAAGGAACCGTCCTGGGGCCATTGCTCTTTCTCTTGTATATAAATGACCTACCAGATCAGCTTGACTCAAATGTGAGGTTATTTGCCGATGACTGTCTATTGTATGTAGAGCTTTCTACACAGACCGACTCACAACTTCTCCAAAAAGACCTGAACACCCTGGAAGAATGGCAAAGCAAATGGCTCATGCAGTTTAATCCCGAAAAATGCTACATTATGCACATAACAAACAAACGAACACCACATGCAACTAGCTACCAGTTTTGTGGTCAGGCTTTAGCAACCACAAAAATCCATCCGTATCTGGGCGTCACGCTGACAAGCGGACTGAAGTGGGGTGCACATGTTAATAATATCACAACTAAGGCGAAACAGACATTGGGAGTGATTAAACGTAATCTGTGGGCATGTCCAACTAGAGTAAAATCACTTGCATACACGTCACTTGTAAGACCGAACCTAGAATACGCTGCGACAGTATGGGATCCATATACAAAGAAAGACAAAGACAAATTGGAAAGGGTACAGAATCAAGCTGCAAGATTCTGTATGAACAACTATATAAGAGGTGCTAGTGTCACGGAAATGAAAAGAAACCTACAGTGGACCCCACTGGAAGACAGAAGAAAGATGTCTAGACTATGCATGATGTACAAAATGACTAATAAACTGGTGGATGTCCCAACTACTAAGTACCTAATACCAGCCCAGAAGAGAACAAGAAATAGCCACGCATTCAAGTACCAGAGTTATCAACCAAGGATTGAGGTGTTCAAGAATTCATTCTTTCCTAGAACTATCGCAGAGTGGAACTCACTGTCACCAAGTACAGTAGGGGCACTGTCAATAGATAGCTTTAAACAATGTCTAGAGCTAGAAGTTCAAGGGTTAGGTGTAACAAGTCGATCGGTGTAATATAGCCAGCTGCCGCCGCGCCGCGTGCCTGCGAAGCTGGTGTGTTACGCCGAAAGGCGGTTATACCGGCTATACAGATACAGATACAGATATACAACACAGTCACATTATAGGCACATTTAGTTCATTTTCCAAATTCAGTCCTCTCCACTAATCTACAGTCCGTTTTTCTTTCTAAATGCTGATATGCTAAATGCTAAATGCTCAATAGTAGAGCCATCACTAGACAGCAAGGAATGGGCCTTGTTGGAGGGTTAAGGTGCATAGATGTTGTTTTAGTCTTAAGTGCGTTTAAATAAAGTCCAATATCCTGTGTGGCATGCTCTACCCTGTACAGAAACTCTTGAGCAGCTTTGATAGTGTCTTCTAGAAGACAAATATCGTCAGCAAAGTCAAGGTCAGGTAGAAAGACTGCTGGGTGACGTGAGCTCTGTCTTCTCCTTAAAGTAATACCGTCATAAGTTCTTACTGCCCTACGTAATGCGTAGTCTAACGCAACAATGAAAAGAAACGGTGCAAGGGGGTCACCCTGCAAGACGCCTGTGTTGATGTTAAAGGTGTCTGTTTCTCCCTCGGGTGTGAGAACAGTAGCCCTAGTGTTGTCATACATAATCTTAATTGCATTGACAATCTGTAGAGGAACACCATATGCCTGTAAGATCTTGAACATGGTGTCACGATTGATCGACTCAAATGCTTCCTTAAAATCGATGAAGATAAGGACAGCTTCCTTTTGGTGGTTTCGAACTTCATCAACGATTTAGCGGAAAGCAAGCCTCTGGGCCGAGGTAGGGCGTGGAGGTCTGAAGTCATTCTGATTTGGGCGCAAAAATTTGTCAATCACAGGAAGAAGTCTATTCAGCAGGAGCCAGTAGTACACTTTAGCTGCCACTTGGGACAGATAAATGCCCCTGTAGTTATCCGGGAGGGTAAGGTTTCCCTTCTTGGAGATAGGTACTATACCTGAGAGTCCCCACTCTGGTGGTCTGTGACCAGCCATAGTTTGGTTGCACAAGAAGGTGACTGCTTACTGACCTTCGGCAGTTTCCACAACTCTACATGTAAACCGTCCAACCCTGGAGCTGGAGCTTTTCCCAGCCGCACCTGCTTCAGTGCTAAATCTACTTCCTCCTGCGTGAAGGGACTGCAACTTATGTCAAGATTAATGTCATACACTTGTGTGATCTCAGAGGCGGAACTCGGTTGAGGGGTGTCAGAAGAAAGAAGCTTGGAAAAATGTTTTTTCCAAGCGTTAAGCCTGTCCTCGCCTTGTATTAATGTGACCCCTGACCTCTTGCCCGACAGCTCATGCACTAACTTCCAAGCCTTCAGGTGATCAACAGTTGAGTCTGATTCAAATGATTGGAGAGTTTTGATAACTCGCTCATCCTCCCATTTGTCATACGACTGCTTTAGATGTGCCTGAGTTGCTTAGAGGTTTCTAGTGGATGAGCGAAGGGTGGCTCGTCGAGCAGTTGTCACTTGAGTGCTGTCCTCTGGCTGTGGGTCACG